AATGTTGATTGTCCTTAGGTTCAAACCATCCTCTTTCATCTGGCTCGACTAGTTCTCCAGAAAGTTGAAGGCAATATTCTTGATGTGCTTCTATAAAACTCTCATAAACCAAGCTCCATTCAATCAACTTTTCTTTAACAACATTCCTATTTTAGTAGTTATCAAACAACAAGCGCATAGCATTTGATTTCACAGTCAATTGAGCAGACAAGGCTTTGCGTTTGTCTTTTCACTGAGCTAAACGCCACTCAAAACCCTTTTTAGCTAAAGTTCTCTGCCTAGATACTCGCTTCCACATCACTTTTGACGTCCCTCTTCTGGCCTTCTGTGGTTTGACAGGCCACTACATCTGAAACTGCACTTGCCATGCTCATAATGTCTAATAATCCACTTCACTCATTCTGTAATTGCCTTTCGATTTCACGCTTCAGCAATAATATACAGGCAACCAAACAACGGTAAAGTTACTATAAACATACCAATATCTTTGAAGTCCTTAGTAGTTTCTCAAGAAACCGACGTAGTTTTTTTAACTATATAGTGGCACACTCATTCAACTAAGCCGCTCTCCTCTTGGCGAGCTCGCTTATCGTTATTCCCAACACTGACCCATATAGATTACCGCTTCCAGTCGGACACAATAAATATAAACACAATTCTTTCTAACGTATTCATTCTGTGTATCTCAATACAGTACAGTATATCTATTACATAAAGGCGGGTTGAAAAACTTTGTTCGTTCTATCTCGCCCGCGAAGATTGTTCTGACTAACTAGTTATGTAGACCATTAATTATGCTTAAAATATATTCATAATAATAAATATGTTAATTTGGCCACTACAGTTTGTTCTTTTTAAACTTTCTGGACTCAGTATCTGAAGGTGATGGGCTTAGAACTATCAGACAGTGTGACGCTGTTGTGCAAAGCAGGTGGTAGCCACAGTGTTAAGTATGCATTGGAATGCCTTTACCAGCTCCTTCTTGTCAATGGTGACTTAAGCCAAAGAGAATGAGAAGTCTTCATTTGGAACAGATCAGTGAATAACCATGGCGGTGTTGGAAGAAACATACCATTAGACCTAGTATATTAGGCAAGGTATATGCAACTTGGGAGTAAATGTAACTGAATCAGCTGTAGCAAGAATTGCAAAGGCAGAGAAATCGGCTAGAGAAATAATTGACAATGTTGATAAAAGTCTACATCGTTCCATCCATTCAGGTAGGCCATCAGCAAGTTCCAGTACAACAGATTTGGATGAAATTATCAAAAGGCTAGTAAGTATTGATGTGTTTGAGCATAAAGAGGGTCGTCACTACAAACACTTTAATAATTTTAAAAGAGATCCACTAAGTGATCTAGACATGAGTTGCACATACAAGTGGGATAAATGAACACAAAAGAAGACTTGCATCTGGTACAAATGCTAGGTAGTCAAGAGCTACTGTTGTTCAGCTATAACATTGTAATGATTGCTGCTATTGAATGATGTGCCAAGTGTTAATGGCTGAATGTCAAAATATGACTTATAAATAATTTATATATAATGTAAATAATACAGTAATAATACAGTAAATAAAGTAATCTCCATCCCAAAATTATAAAGCTGCTATTATAATGCTGCTTATACTATACATAAAGCTGCTTCCAGTCAACAAATTGCCAGATTAATTGTTTTTTTTCCACAATCAATTATGGTTAATAATATTTGTATCATCTCAGTACCTATCAGTAACATCACACACAGCATGATGTGGGAAATAGTTTAATTTCTTTCCAGACTAAAAAAATTGTGACAAGATTGTGATTGAATGACAAACATCAAGGTGACTTGCACTGATTCAAAACATTTGGGTACAATGATCAACTCTTGTTCTGATAGGATTTGCCAGTGCTGTAAAAATACATATCTTTAAAGTTATTATTTGAATAAATTGCTATTTGCATGATCCAAAATTGCATGGTGTGGATTTTAATACCTCTTTTCACATTTCAAATAATTAGTTTTGCTATGCCAAATGAAATCAATGCACTAGAAACAGTGAAAACTTAAATTATAAACCACCAAAGGCATGTCACTGATGTCATATATAAATTAATTATCAATACAATTAGTATTAATTGATTGTTCATGACAATTGATTAAAAAAATTAACCAATCAAGCAGCTCTATGGGATAAGATAATATAATTGTTAATTATGTAAACTATTGTTCGAGGAAGTAAACTTTCATATTGCAAATTTTTAATCTATATTTTTATGTACTGGTATATGTAGTTGGTAGCCTAAACTGTATGTATGTGTAATGTAGATTATTGCTTTTTAAATAGTTTTCAGGTGGGATGCACTTGGCACTGCTCAGTGCTGTTTGCATTCCACCCAAAAGTTATACCTTGGCAAATAAGTATAAGTACTTGTTCAGCCTAAGTACTGTAGTTGGATAGTGATATTGCTACCTTTGTTACCATCACCCCTGCAAAGACACTTGAATGCATTCAAATTTTATACCTTTAAAAGTCTATAACAGCATCAAAACTCATATCTAACACAGCATTCAAAACAGGAACTGGAACATTTGTTGCATCAATTGATGTTTCATCAATGTCTGTCTGGCTTAATTCATCAATGGCAAGCATAGCAAGTTCCTCATCAAAACCAAGGTCACTCCAGTCATCTGGCAACCAGTTGTCTTCCTCATCTGAAGATAGCTCATCAAGATCTTCACAGTAGTTAGGGTTATTCATATCACTAAATACTTTTTGTAAAATGCTGTACACTTTTTTGGCATGACCTAAGTCCCAAATTTCCACATATTGGCAAATATCATCAATAGTAAATAGTTTGTCTGCATGGTTAACAACTTGTGAAATTTGTATATCAGAAAATCCCAGAATAAATTTAGGATGGTTAAAAACTTTCAGCTTTGCACTTGCATCTTGTTTCACAAAATCAGACAATAAGCTTTTTTGAAATTCACAAAGTTCACACTTCAGTATTTCCAATTGTTCAGAGGATACAGTACGGCATATTCCAATATTAGTTCCTAATGGCTCTATATTTGGTGCTGGGTAGGAAAGAATTTTGCAATCTTCACTTCCACAATTACAAATGATGGAGCAATTATCACAACATAAATGGAGAGCTCTTGGACTAAATTGAACTTCAAAAAACTGAAGTAAATACTTTTTTCTGCACTCACTAGTCTTGAGGTACAGTTTAATATCCTGTTGTACATGTGAAAGTTGGTAACTCTGGTAAACTAGGTAAGATACACTCAGCGAACCATCTCTACCAGCTCTGCCACTCTCTTGAATATATGATTCAACATTCTTGGCTGGTCCAAAGTGTATTGTGCAATAAACCTTTTTACAATCAATCCCCATGCCGAATGCAATGGTCACAACCAATATCTTAATACAGCCATCTTCTTTCTGAAATGACTCCAATATATTTTGTTTATTTGAAGAAGGAGTACATGAGTGAAGTATCTCAAGAACAACTTTCCTTGGATCAGGATTTATAATATATTCAAATATGTTTTCACCAAGTTGAGATTTTAATGTGCTATGAATTACAGCACATTGTTTTACTGTCTGGCAGTATATAATCGTTCTTGTTGCTGCTTCTCCACAAGTAATTATATAATCAGCAAGCCATTTAAAATGACTTGATATGCTTGCATTCTTCTGCAAATAATATACCACATATGAAATGTTGTCTTTTTAGGACTATCTACAACCATATATGGTTTAACCATTGCCATAGCTTCAAATATTGATTCTCTTGTGTCCTTGGTTGCTGTTGCTGTCAGATTAATGAAAGGAACATTGTTCAAGAGTGATTTCAACTCATATAGTCGTGAAAACCATACTCTAAAGGCTGCATGTTTGTTGCTTTTTGATCTTCCTCTTAAATGATACGAAATTAAAAATATAGACAAAAGCTAAGGATATGGCTAATTTATTTTACTAAATTATACTGAATAATGTATAAATGTCAACATATTGTTAGACATATTTAATGATTTATAAATACAGGGTGTCCCAAATAAATGTCACCCTATACAAATTAATCATCTTTTGTTAAGAGGGACATTTTTTTTGGACACCCTGTATAAAAGTCAATGACATACCAATGAGAAATCACATGTGCCTCATCCACAACTACAGCCCTGACACTTTGATTATAGATATTGTTTCCAACCATTTGGCGCCATCTATCGTTGTTCAGCCATGACTCAGGGGATCCAAAAACAATGGAGAAATTTCCATTGACTAACGCCTGAATTCTATCTTCTGACAAGACTTCGTTTAATGCTATAGCATTTATCCCGCATGAGATCAGACGTGAAACGTGATCCTTCATCAAGTTGATCAATGGTGAAGCAACTATGAGGATGTGCTTCTCAGATTCAGTGGGTGACTTCAATGAATCCAATGATGAATAGACAGTTGACAAGGAACAATAAATCAAAATGTAACCGCGAGAGTCCGTAATCTGTTCTCGCTGTTACAGGATGGAAGGGACAAAGAGACCCAAATTCGATACGCGCATACTACAAAGTTACATCAAACGGTGTTGTCTGATATTTGATAAGCTTTGTTGCTTACGGTTCAAAAACTAAATAACAATATATAAAACTATGTACAATACAGGATATAAACTTAATACACTACGAATTAACTTACAACAAATCACGAATTAACTTACGTTGTGTCCCTTATTGCCTTACATCGATGCCGTATGCCATAGATATTTAGTTCTAGTTTTAGACACTGTCCGGTACAACATATCAAACTTAAAAAACGTTAAATATTCGTATCATCACACCTTATATACTGTGGTTGTAATTACCATAATTAATGATCTGTGGCATTAACATTCTCGCCCCTTTAAACGATCATCGTTTAATTTATAACCTTAGCATTAATGCTGTATAATGTATATTGATAACACACAATAAACTGAAAACTGTCAATTGAAGATGTTCACTTATCTAGTTCACAGCTCTTCGGTGTCACTTTTCTCTAATAACACCACCAGTTTCGAAATTGGACGGTGAAGCTCTGCGTTGGATGTTCTTAAAACTACGCTTCTCACGTACCCAGCAGAATCTGGATTTGTAGCAGTGACACGTCCCATCGACCAAACGTTCCTTGATAAATTCTCGTCTTTAAGAAGAACTACATCACCTACTGCTACATTCCGTCTAGTTGTTGTCCATTTATGCCTTTGTTGAAGTAATAACAAATATTCCTTCTTCCATCTGCTCCAAAATAGATTGGCTAAGTATTGTACACGGCGCCAACGACGACGTGCGTATAGGTCTTCGCGTTCGAATACACCAGGAGGAGGTAGAATTATCTTCGTTTTCACTGTAAGGATATTGCTCGGAGTTATTGGGGTTAGGTCGTCTGGATCACTGGATGGGAAAGTTAAAGGCCGAGAGTTAATAATAGCTTCTACTTCACATAGTAATGTATGAAATGACTCATCATCCAGTTGTTTCCCATTTTCGAGAAGTATCCCAGCTAAGATCTTGCGTACGCTTCTGATTTGTCTTTCCCAGACCCCGCCCATGTGGCTTGCTGCTGGAGGATTGAATCGCCATTCAATGTTCATTTGATTCATCTTGCTTTGAATTCTTAAATGATTCATCTGAGCAAAGGACTTGTCAAGCTCTGATTTTGCACCGACGAAATTTGTTCCATTATCGCATCTAATTTGTTGAACTGGTCCTCGTCGAGCCACAAATCGCCTTAATGCATGGATGAATGAGTCGGTGTCAAGTGAATTAGAGACTTCAATATGAATCGCTCGACTTGAGAGACAAGTAAAGAGAGCTCCATATCTTTTCAAGACTTTCCTTCCGTCTTTAATGTAGAATGGGCCAAAATAATCTACGCCAACATAGGTAAACGGAGGAACTGGATTCACTCGTTCCACGGGAAGGTCAACCATCTTCTGCTCAGTTGGTGATGCGCTGATCCGGCGACATGTTATGCATTTGTACAGACAGCTACGGACGGCTGAATTGGCACTGACTATCCAATATCTTTCTCTTAAGGCGACTAAAACATGAGCACGTCCAGCATGACCCAAACTGTGATGAATATGACGAATTATAAGCGTTGTTACATGATTTTTCGGTGGCAGGATACAAGGGTATTTCGTTTCCTCTTGCAAGTCGGCTTTGGAGAGACGACCACCAACGCGAAGAATGCCTTGAGAGAGGAATGGGTTGAGTCGATGGATAGAACTTGTCTTCTTAATCTGAGCTTTTTTTTGTTTCTCTAATTTTCTTACTACCGTTTCATCTGATTTCATGATGTCATTGATGGCTCGTATTTCTTCTCCGTACGACTGTTCTTGAACACATCGAATAATTGCATCTTCAGCTTCTTTTAACTCTTGTAGTGTCATTGGTGGTACTAATGGTAGTGGCTTTCTTCCCTTTGAGATTCGGTTCTTGCCATCCACTGTCAATTGTTGCAGGTTACGTGCTTTGTTTCGTAATCTTCGTTCTTTGAGCAACTTGCGAACTCGGAGCATTATTGCAACAGCCTTCCTTAAGCGATACCAGTCTGAATAATATTCAATTAATTTGTTGATTGAAGACAGAGAATTGTCAACCTTAACCGCTAAGCTGCTAACGGCTTTCTTAACTTCTAGATCGTTGATCGATGCTTCACTCAATGATAACGGTTGTTCTGGCCATTCTGCTTCTTCTTTCCATAGAAAATCTGGACCCTGGATCCATTGGTGTAGCTGGGGAAAGGACTTTCTGTCTAGTCCTCTTGAAGCGTGATCTGCTGGATTGTCGCTGGATTGCACATATCTCCACTGTGTTTGGTCAGTCAAATCTCGTATCTGTTGCACTCGGTTTGCTACGAATACATGGAATCTCGTATGTTCGTTCAGGATGTATCGGAGGACGGTAGTCGAGTCAGTGTGGTATATTCTAATGTCAGGCTTATCTTCAATTTCATCAGTAGGCAATCGACCCAGACGTGCGGACAAGACTACCGCCACGAGCTCTAAACGTGGTATGGTCACGACTTTCACCGGAGCAAGACGGGACTTACCCATTAGGAAGGCACAATGAATTCTTCCTTCATCATCTTTCAAACGAAGATAGGCGACCGAACCGTATCCATAAAGGCTTGCATCGGAGAATAGATGAAACTGTCTCGACACGACTTTTCCAAAGCTCGGCGGTATAAAACTTCGGTTGACTTGAACTTGAGAAATAATTTGTATGTCATTTTTCCATTTGGACCAGCAAACTTCATACTCATGTGGAATTTCGTCGTCCAAACCCAAACGCTGTAATTGACAAAGCTCTTGCAAGAGCTTCTTTGCAGGCAAAGTAAATGGAGCAGCAAAACCCAAAGGATCGTAAAGTGAAGACACCGTTGACAAAATTCCTCTTCTGGTAACTGGTTTGGAGCTCAACGTTATGCAAAATTCAATTGTGTCAGATTCTATGGACCAATGGACTCCAAGAGCACGTTCTAGTGGAAGCTTATCATGAATCAAGTCTAGATTTTTTAATCCTTTTGACCGGTCTTTCTCTGGTATCGACCGCAATACAGAACCAGAATTGCTTGTAAACTTCGTCAAGTGAAATCCTCCGTTAGCACACGCATGACGTAAATCTTTAATTAAGTTGATTGCCGTCGTTGTGTTTCCGTTAGATTTTAGGCAGTCGTCTACATAGAAATTGCGCTCAATTGTTCTTGCGACTTGTTGACCAAACTCTTTCTCGTTATCGGACGCAGTTTTCCTTAGAGCGTAGTTTGAGCAGCTTGGCGAGGAGACAGCACCAAACAAATGCACCGTCATACGATATTCTTGCATGTTCGAGTTTAAATCGCCATTGGGCCACCACAAGAATCGCAGGAAATCACGTTGGCTGAGAGGTACTTGCACTTGATAAAACATAGCTTCGATGTCAGCCATGAAAGCTATTGGATCTTGTCCGAATCGAATTAAAACGCCGATTAACGTGTTGGTAAGGTTCGGACCAGGGAGCAGTTGATCGTTAATAGAGGTTCCTTGAAATTGAAAACTACAGTCGAATACAACGCGGATTTTTTCTGGCTTTTTCGGGTGGTACACGCCGTGATGTGGGATGTACCAAACTTTCCCATTCTCAGATGAAGATGGTGAAGGTACTTTCTCTGCGTAACCCTTAGCGATAACTTCTTCCATAAACACCGTGTAATCTCGTTGATACTGTTCGTTCTTTAACATTTTCCTTTTTTGCCATTCCGCTCGCTTGATTGCTTGGACTTTATTGTTAGGCATCGTAACATCGTTAGTTCTGAAAGGCAGAGGAATTTTATAGTGTCCTTCGTTGTAACGAATTCCAGTTTCAACTTTCTCCATAAACTGTACATCTTCAACGGAAAAACTCTTTCCATCTGCATCCACGCGAACTACATCGCGTTCATTGAAGTCTATCGCCAACGCGTCAAGCAACAACTTGGGTGTGACGATCTCTTTCACGCTCTGAATTTCACATACGATGATACGATTGACACGAACCTTCTCAGTGTTTGATTGCGACTGTTCTGGACACAGAGGTCCACTAACTGTCCATCCATGATGAAGAAGAACAGCGAAAGGACCGTCACCTTTACTTGGTATCACTTTCAGTGGTTCGTGGGCCATGACGCAATTACTACTAATCAATAATCCAATCTCTAACTCTGGTTGCAGTTTCGGAATTTCTTTGGCAACAGTTTCAAGGTGAAGCCAATTTGCAACAATTTCTGAAGTTGGAATTTGGTTATGATCAACGGGAATGAACTCTCGGGTATACAGCTTTTCAATTCTGACGGGATTCTCGTTCTTCAAGTCCGTCACAATCAGGTTGTTAAGAATGTTGCATCTCACATAGCTCTGCCCGTGCGTTGTACCAAGTTGAAGGGCTGTTTCCACACCTTTTATTCCCAACTGATTCTGTAGGTTTTCTGTAATAAAAGATCCACCACTGCCATTATCATAGAACGCATACGTGGTTATAGATTTATTGCTTCCTTTCTGCCTCACTTTCACTGGAAGAATTGCGTGGTATATAATGTTCTTAGTGTCGTTCTGCTTAACATCACCGGTATTGACTGAAAAACCAATACAGCCGTTGTTTACTTTGTTCTCCATCTCATCATCATCATTTTTATTTCCTGGAAGATTCCTTTTGCCAGCAGATTTAAAACCAATAATGTGCAATGCAGTTGGATGGTTCTTACCACAGGTGTCACACGTCTTCTTCTGCAAACATCCTTTCGCGATATGGTTATATCCATAACATGAAAAACACATTTTCTTCTCATAAAGAAGCGACTTCCTCTTATCAATAGACCTCTTCAGGAATTCAACACAATCATCAAGTAAGTGGTTTTTACTGCAACATGGACAATATTCTGACTTGCTTTCTTCAGAATTTGCACCTTGTTGAGGAATAGCCGGTGGTTCAGGGGGTTTGATCTTAGCAGCAAAGCTTTTAGTAACGTCGCTGATTTTTTTCTTATCTCTGGCATCAAATCGTTTTCAAAACATCTTGCTTCAAGACATCTTTACTATATACAGGATGATTCGCCGACTCAGCGCATTCGTCAACAAAGGTGACCAGATCATCAAATCCTGGAACTTTTCGGTTCTGTCTCCTTAACTTCGTCACGCGATCTCTCCATTTCGCTTGAAGATTCTGCGGCAATTTCTTCACGACCGTTTGCATGTTAGTAGGATGATTTAAAACAGCCATATCAGAGATTCCGTTCATAGCATTTTTAATCTTCTTCAGAAACATAGCTAAGTACTTCAGCCCCACTGGGTCGTCATATCTGATGGCTGGCCAGTTGAGAACCTTGTTCACATATGCTGTAGACACTTTATAAGGATCTCCGTATTCATTTTCAAGGAGTTTTCGTGCTTCTGCATATCCTTCCTCAGGCTCGAAGTATATACAACCCCCAATCAATTCCTTTAGTTCTCCAACGAGATGTTGATTTAGATAGTACAGGCGATCTGCATTACTTCCAGTTTTGGATTCAATACGAGTATCGAAAGCTTTGATGAACGACTTGTAGTTCATTGGATCACCATCAAACTTAGGAACTTCGGGTTTCGGTAATGTGATCACAGCTGCAAGTTGAACGTTTGCCCTCATCATATGCTCAGTTTGTTGTCTCTGTAGCGTCAGCAACTGTTTTAGAGAATGCTGTTCAAGGTTTTCTTTATGAGGACCTTCACGTCTTCGTGCGTCGTTGTGTACGAATGTTCTATCTAATTTACGGCCAACGATGTTACTTGGTATTGTATCAGGAAATGCGTTTGATGGTTGCGATGAATTAACTTGTGGTGATGATGGTGATGTATTTGACAAGCTAGACAATGATGAAACCGATAAATCGGGTGTAGGAAGCCTAACCTTTGCTTTACTCGTAATAATAGGAGTAATGGGAGACCGTGGCGCTGGAATAGGACTGATTGATGACCGTCGCTTCAATTCGTGCACATATGCTATCTTCGATCTTCCTTCGGTGGCATGATCTGGTTCACTTTTAACTTTCGAAGCTGCCAAGCCTTCGCTTTCGATTATTTCTCCGTAAACCCTTTCCCTTGCTTGGGCTTTAGCAATATCCGTCTCTAACATCAGATCTTCTGTTGCGGCTTTCAAAGCTTGTTTTCGCTTTAATAAGGACTTCTCAGCTTCCACTTCGGCCAATTTCACTCTTTCTTTGGTACGGGATGATATCGTTGAAGCAATTGATGACGTTATTGAATGCTTTGAGCTTTCATGCAATTCTTTTGTCGACTTCGAAGGTTTAGAACTGGCTTTATCAACGCTTTTATCAAGTTCATCCGATAGTCTTTGTTCTGCATCTAAAATCCATTGATTTACTTGCCAGCGAAATTCCAGAAACGACTTTTCTCTCGTTTCATATCGTTGCATTTCGGTTTCTTGAATCTCTTCCGACGATATCGCACTTAAGTACTTATTATGGATTTCTTGATAATCCGCGAATAGAGTATTAATGTCCTCTAAAGCAGTCTTGACCAAATGCAGATCAATTTCATTTTCTAGAAGCCGTGTTATTTCGGTACGTTTTCGAGTGACTGCTGCCAAGCTCGAAGTTTGCTTGCTTTTTAGACGGTTGCAGCTATACTCTCGTCCTTTCTCCGTAAGACCTCTGAAACGCGTGTCGCCGTTGGTTTCATGGGTGGTTCCGTTAACCGTCTCGCTTGATTGAACCGGATCAAAGTCTAATTCAGTTCTTTCATTTATCCGGTTATCCATATTATAAACTGAGAAAAACTTTTTGAACAAATGTAACCGCCAGAGTCCGTAATCTGTTCTCGCTGTTACAGGATGGAAGGGACAAAGAGACCCAAATTCGATACGCGCATACTACAAAGTTACATCAAACGGTGTTGTCTGATATTTGATAAGCTTTGTTGCTTACGGTTCAAAAACTAAATAACAATATATAAAACTATGTACAATACAGGATATAAACTTAATACACTACGAATTAACTTACAACAAATCACGAATTAACTTACGTTGTGTCCCTTATTGCCTTACATCGATGCCGTATGCCATAGATATTTAGTTCTAGTTTTAGACACTGTCCGGTACAACATATCAAACTTAAAAAACGTTAAATATTCGTATCATCACACCTTATATACTGTGGTTGTAATTACCATAATTAATGATCTGTGGCATTAACAAAAAGATTTTCCACATCCAGTCGGCAAACTTACAAATAGATCATTATTCGTCTCTATTATGTATTGGATAGCTTTCCTTTGAAAAAAATTTAAGTTTTCGATGTTGAAAATTTTACAAACATCTCTAAATGCATTTTCAATTTGAGCTACAGCCATTTTGCATTTTTTCTTCCAGACGGCCATGGAGAATTCACGAATAACTCACGCAAATCTCTCGCATATTACACGCGCTGGCTCTCTGATTTTAAGAGCTACATGATTGGCTAACGTCACGGAAATCGAAATCTCGCTCGGGTTCGCAGATGTTAATTTTCGAGCGAGGTAATGAGCGTGGAAAATGACATCTGGATTCGGAGACTAGGTAGCTGTCAGCCACTCTTCTCTAATAAATAGCCTGTATCCAGCTTCACTTTTAGCTTTTCTCATATCTGTTGAAACCTAGCCTGCGTCACAGTCCACTCCCCGTAGTGAGTGGACTGTGCATATTACGGCTGCCACGACCATTCGACTTAAGCCTTGAGTAGCTGTTCCGCCGTAGATATGAGTAATTGTTTGCACTTACCACAAAGCGTATGTATGTATGTATGTACGTATGTAGGTATGTGCGTATGTACGTATGTATGTATGTATGTATGTATCTATATATATTTCACTTTGAAATTTCTGTTAAGAGTTTACCTTGGTAAAACTAGCTCGGGCACAAATTTTCAGTTAATATCATTACATCGCTGTGCCTGTTGTAAAACAGGACTCATTTCACGCATATCATGTATCAAAGACTGTTGTGTTTTAGAATATTTATTATAATTTTTATCTAATTATCTACATGTTCCTAATATATTATAGTTTATAAATACTTAATGTTATATCATCCAATAGCAATAATACCACATCTCCCTTCCTTCACATATAAATTTTTTAACAGTATCTAATAGTCTTTCCTATATTAATCAGTCTACTAAAAGTAACAACACAATGTCAAAATTAAGTGATATAAAAGGTTCTTTCGCAAGTTCAGTTCTTGAGATATCTACTTCTTAAATTATATGGATCACGTACATGTTGTCCCACATGCCTTCCTCCCAACGGATTAGTCAGGGTTGGTTTCTGTTGGTCATTCACTTGAAATGCATTATTAGTAGCAGGGGTAGGTGCAGGCCGAAGGTATCTTCGATTTCGGGTGAGCGTTGATCCTTCGTCAGTTCAAACTACGTAGGTGCGATTAGGTTTAATTTCTGTAATAGTTCCAAGAAGGGACCAATCAGAATCGACGCGGGAGCGAATAACTACACGAGTACCAGTCTTGTTAACTTTAGTTAAAAACTTATCAGCTTGGAAAGAGGTGGCTTCATCTACTTGGATATATTTGACAGCTTTTTCAGGAGTAAGGTCTTGAATACAGAGAAGTCCCTTTCTTATATCATGAGACTTTATACCGGCCACAAGACGTGCCAAGAGAATTCTGTCCTTACAAGACATTTGTGTTGAGCTCTGGCAACATGCTTTGTAATGACATTTTTTCAAGAGCGTTTGTAGATCATTGTAAAACTCGTCAAATGATTCATTCAAGCCTGGTACTCGTTTGTGGAATTCATATTCATGCACAAACATATTTGAACTGCCACATACCTGACGGTGGAAAGATTCTA